AGTGTGCCTGATTCAGTCCTTGGTCTTTGCAGTTACTTGCTGTGCATCAGAGAGCTGGATAGTGATTATGGATGACAGAAGAAAAATCGATGCCTTTGAGTTGTGGTGCTGGAGAAGAGTTTTGGAGAAGAGTATGCTTACTGTGAACAACCAAGAAAACAAACAGGTCTGTCTTGGAGAGGGTGAAACCAAGTTTCAACCAAGGTGAAATCCTTGGAAATAAGGATTTTGAAGCTCTATCTCGCTTACTTTGGAAATGTTGCCAGGAGGGACCAATCCTTAGAGAAGAACATCATGCTTGGAAAGATGGAGGGACAGCACAGGAGAAGACCCTGGATGAGATGGATTGACACAGTAACTAGGATAACAGGGGTAGTGTTGGAGACAATGAATGAAACTGGCTCAGGATAGGGCAGAGTTCAGAGCTGTTATACACAGGGTTGCTATGAGTCACAGATGGCTCGATGGAACAACATCAGCAACAACATCTCATGCTATTTTGGTCACACTTCCCTGGCCCCTGTGAGGGAGAGGCCTCATTGCTTTCTTGATTGTTTTGTGCGACATTTCAAACTGCCTTTTTAAAGTTATACCTTTGATTTTTTTTAAGCAGTCCATTCTTTTCTAAAAAATTAATTTTAATGAAAGTTTACAGAAACTTAGGCTTTCCAGTCATTCATTGTTGCACTTTTCTCCCTGCCTACCCTCTCCCACCTCAATTCACTTTCTTCTTGATGCGTAAAAGAAAAACTCTTTCATTACTGTGCAGTCCCTCCCCCTAAGTCCACTCCACTGTGCAGCCTTCATTCTGGACTCATGTCATGACAATAATACCTAATAAATATCCTTTTTAAACAGTTCTCTCCCTCATCTGTTGCAATGCAGTATACATCATGCCTCCCCTTCTTCTCTGTCTTCCCTCAACCCCAATGTCAGTCCTGTTTTACAATTATGGCCCTATGCAATTCTTAACAGCGACATCTTTACTCCTATTTTATCTCACTTTTGAACCAAGTTGTCCTTTTTTTTCTTCCCTATTTTGATTTGAGGCAGCTTTATGTTTACTGCTCATGTCAGAGTGAACCTTGAATACTGTGGCTTTAACTCTCATGCTTGGTTAAATATGACTGGAGATTTTCTTCTAACAGATCTCACAACTCCATTGGGTGGCAAGACATTAGGATGAGGCATACACCAGGAAAAAATGGTGGCTGGGGTGGGGGTGGGGCAGGGGTTTGGAAAGCCACAGGGTAGCGATGGCATTATCACTGGTTATAAAGGAGTTCAAGTGCCATTTCAGAACTGGGGAAGATGTGTTTTAGAAGACTTGGAGAGAAAGGGAGAGTCCTCCCAGGCCGTGTGATTTCTGCTCAGATGCAAGGGAAGATCTCTGGGAATTCCCTAAGAGCGCGAGAGGTTTCAAGAGACATTATCTCAGTGCATTCCACTTTAATAAAGACCATTTAAGGAGGCGGCATCTGGGGAGCATGTGCAGCTTTCAGATTTACCATAGGTGAAAAGAATTCTTTCTGTTCATGCTAGATCTGCAATTGCTCAGCCAACGTGGATTTATTGCCACTAAATTTTCCCTGCTCATGGTAAGAGGCTCAAGATGAGTAGTAATAACCCCACATTGGAATAGTTGACACGAGTAAGACAGGTGTGCTCTGGCAGGTAAGTCCCACGGAACCATTCTTATTTGTATTCTGAACACCCCAGGTGTGATGAGAGCTATCTGTGTTTGTTCAGCAATAAGTTTACTTCAGGCTTGAAAAATGTGCCACAGAATCAGAATTAGGGACAACCAAACCTTTCACTGCATTCTTCACAGTCTTTCTCAAATGAAGGCATGGTCATGTTATCGTTCTTCTTAAATTGTTGGGACAAACATTTAACCTTGAATACAAGAACTTAATCACTACCCTGCTGCCTACCTAGCTGTCCCTTCTATTTGAAGGAGTATGTTATTACTCCCCCTGGTGGCAGGTTCTCCCTAGTGATTATTAATAGTTTGCAGTCTACAAGTTTACTCAAAGAAAGGTGGTTATCATCTCGACATGATGAAGCAGCTGAGGAGAAAATATCTCTACTGCCAGGAAGAATCTTGCATGAGAAGATCAGACTCATATTTATTTGAGTCTTGGTTTTCTTACCAAGAAGATGTATATACTGGCCAAATGTCTCACCTCATCTGAGCATTTTGTGTTTCTCCGTTATAAAATGAAGATTTGGGACCCAATGGGCTTGATACAAAATCTTTTCTCCACTTTAAGGTCAAGGATGCTTCTCTGACTAATGTCTGTAAAGATAATTCTTGGCTCACTGAATAGAGTTCCTTGCCTTTGAAGGCACATAATTTAAACAGTGGGTAAGACTTTTCAGCACGTGCATTGTCTCTTCTTTATGATGTCTCATCCAACTGACAATCAGCCAGACAATGGACCCTCTTAAACAATGTAGTGAATGGCTAGAGTTTTTATTTTAAAATGAGCAAAAAGTGTCATATAAACTAATATTTATTAAGCATTTATTCTAAAAGCTAGGGACTCTTCCAAGCCTTTAGTCATAAAATTGCTTTTGTTTAATCCTTACAAATATCCTATGATGTAAGTTCTATTATTAATCCTTACTTTATAGGTGTGTACTCCAAGACATAAAGCTGAAAAAGAGCTTGCCCCAAGACATAAAGCTGAAAAAGAACTTGCCCCAGATCATATAAAGCATGATGGATCTGGAATTCCAATGCAGGCAGTCTGTAATGCCTGAACGTGTGCTCTTAACCTACAGGTGAAATCTGTATCCATGCAAGTTTTTTCTCAATTACTTTAAGGTGTCTTTTGAAAATGTTTTTATTTTCCTTACTGTTCAAAAAAACTGAAAAATTCCAACTCACTGTCGTTGAATTGGAACTGATTCATTGCTGACCTCTAGTAGGTTTCTTAGGCTGTATTTTGCACAGGTTATGTTGTCAGTTGGAGGCCTAAGGTGTGCCTGATTCAGGCCATGATCTTTTCAATCACTTGTTATACATCTGAGAGTTGGACAATGAATGAGGATGACAGAGGAAGAATTGATGCCTTTGAGCTGTGGTGTTGGAGAAGAATACTGAATATACCATGTACTGCCAAAAGAACAGACATGTCTGGGAGAAAGTGCAGTCATAGTGCTTCTTGGGGCAGAGATGGTGAAGCTTCATCTCACACACTTTGGGAATGTTGCTAGGAGAGGGTATACCTTGGAGAAGGATATCATGCTTGGAAAAGTGCAGGGACAGCAAAGGAAAAGGCCCTCAAAAGTTGGACTGACACAGTGAATGTAGCAATGTGCTCAAGTAAGTCAGAGGTTGTGAGATTGACACAGAGTAGAACAGGGTTCAGATTTTTTGTTCACAGGGTGGCTAGGAGTCACACGCAATGTGACGGCATCTAACAGCAACAATAATATTGTACAGGAGAGATTGCCTGTCTTTTTCTCCTGTCGTTGCTGATGGGTTCAAATCACCAGAGAACCGAGGACTTTGGGTTAGCAGTGCAACTCCCTGCGGACAATGCCACCAGAGTGCCCTTCCCAATGTTAGCGGCTACATATCCTGTAGCGAGATTATTTTATTCAAGTCATATGCAAATCAATATCTAAAAGCCCAGCAGGAATAAACTTGACACTAAGTTTGCCCAGAAAGAAGAATTAAAAGTTGTAGAGTTCAGTTGAGGTGACTTTGACATATGATGACCCCATGTGTATCAGAGCAGACAGGGTCTTCAATGACTGACTTTTCAGAGGTAGGTCAACAGGTCATTTCTTGCAAAGTGCTTTTGGTTGGACTTGGAGCTACAATTTTTGGCTGTCATCGTTGAGTGCTGTCAAGTTGACTAACAGAGAGCTTGCCCTATCCTGCACCAACTTCACAATCTCCACCTTGCTCAAGGCCATTGCTTAGGATTAGCCGTTTGCACTACTTGGGGACTCCAGAAAGAACTACAAACCAAAGCAAAACTTGCAGCAATCATGTCTAATTCAAACGCAAAGTGAAAACACCCCATATGCTTTCCAAGATTGGAGTCTTTAGGAAAAGGACTGTTGATGGGTTTGAACTACTGGACCTCTTGGGAAAGCAGTCTAGTGCTTAACCATTGCTCCACCAGGCCTCCTAGGGAAGAAACTTAAAAAGAGGACTATTATTATTGTTATTGCAGGTGGATAATGATTTGGAAACCCTGTTCAGGTATCCTCTGATAGGAAGCCCTAGCCATAACGTCCTGCCTCAGGCCTTAAAATGAGCTCAACTCTGCTTGTCTTGTGAATGGGGCACTTTGCCTGACTACCTGCCTAGAGGCTGATCTACTCTTGGCTGGCCTGACGTACAGACACAAAGATGTGGCTCCGGCTGGAGTCTGTCCTCCTGAGTTCAGTTGACCTTCATTTAAGAAGCAAACAACCCCGTGTCTCAGGTTTAGGGACACCAGGGTTTAAGAACCTATCACTCCTCTGGCACCTTCTAAGTACTCGAGAAATGCTTGTGACTTCATGACAAAATAGATCAATTCAGCAGTGATTTTTTTTTTAAACGTTCCAAAAAAGATTCACCCCAGGGTTCCTTTAAATGGCCAGCTACCCTGGAGCATTTCAAATGCGATTTGATTTATAGGAATTCGATGTACATGGTTCTGCAGGGCCACATCAATCGTGTAAAGTGAGATGCATGTGCTGCCGGGTTCCCACTGACCGAGCTGTTGGCAGCGCTCCTCCAGCCGCCTGGAATGCACACAAACCCGGTCTGGGCTCCCTCGCTTTTATCACAAAGGAGCTCATTTTGTGAATGAACAGCCACCACCGGCAGCCCAATGGTATTCCCAGTGACCTTTGCCCGGGGATTGGATTCCCGCCCAGCGGGGAGACCGGGCCTTAGGAAAAGGTTAGTTCATTGATGGCCACAGCCTGCTGGGCAGAGGTCTGGGGAAGGAAAGGCTTCAGAGAACTTTTCCTTTTTTTTCATGAATCACCTCGGAGAAGCCACCCTTCCCGCCCGCCGGCCGGCGGAGCTCTCTTTTGTGGGGGCCAGAGGGGCTTCTATTCAACCATAGGGGAACGGGCGCCCAGGGGCCACCTCCCAGCCGCGCCCGCCTCCAGCCCAGCGCCCGGGGGCCATCTCCAGATCGGCCCCCGCCTTCCCCCCGGGCCCATTTCGAGATGAATAGACGTTGATAGCGGCAGCGTGTCAGCAGAACGGCCGCCCCCCTCCGGCCCGGCGGCCTCAGCCGGGCGCCTTTCATACTCGTGGCGCCTCGCTGTGTCAGTCCGCGCCTCGTCTGGCGCCCCCTTGGACCTGCGCCAGGCCCGGTGCCCCGTGTGCCCACCCCACCCCGGGACCCCGCGAACCTCCGTGCAGCGGGGGACTCTGCGTCCTCGGGCTGCTCGTGCGCCTGCAAGCTTTATTTACAGACTGCTTTTCCTTTGTGTATGTGTGCGTGTAGCAGTGAAGAAAGTAATCCCTTCTCATTTTGTCTCCCTGTTCTCCACAAGTCCCGCGGAGCTTCCGCCTCTGTTCCTCTCGCCGCCCTCCCTCCTCCTCCAAGACCTTTCCCTCCTCCCCCACCTCCTCCTCCTCACCAAGGCTTTTTCAGTTTGATGTTTTTAGGTATCAAAGGAAGGTCTCCAGGAACCCTGCAACTAAAGACTTTAATGAGGACCATGCCCAAGAAATCCTGGCTGCCAAAGAGATGATGATGATTTATGTTGCTCACTCACTCCCTAACAGCAAGAGGACTATTTGTAAAAATAAAAAAGCTTCTCATATGGAATTAAACAAGAGCATAGCTGCTTCCTTCCAGACCCCGGGAGCTTAACAAAGAGCATCCATACTCGTCTCCAGCAGCACATGGCTCAGGGCCGAGATTAGTCTTCCTGTCACATAAAGCTAAATCCTGTTAGCACAGGCAGCAGCGCACCCTGGCCATGTCGGTGGACCTCAAAAGGCGCATTACCGAGGAAAGCCCCGAATGTGTGGACAACACAAAGAAGGGCACGATTAACCCCAGGCCCGGGCTAAACTGCTCAACAACTGGGCACAGGCGCTGGGCTGCTGCTGTGGGGCCAGGGCGAGTGTGGCTGGCGGGGTCCAGAGAGGCTCTGAGGACACGGTGGTGGTTGAATGCTCAGCTGGAAGAGTTGTGCTTTGAACCTATCAGCCTCTCTGTGGGAGAAAAGTGTGACAGCCTGTGGCAATAAAAAGCCCAACTTGGGAAACCCTGTGTTTCTCTGTCTGAGAGCTCTTAACAACACGTTCCCTCCTAGCTGAATATCCAATGGGTTTCCTAGTCTGTAAATGGGAATGGAAGGAAACCAACTATCTCCCCCCCCCCCCGCCCCCCCCCCCATAGAGCTGCTAGTGAATTCCAACAGCCGGAGAAGCTGGCCTTTGGCTTAGCTTCAAAACTCCCTACCCACTACCCCATGTGGACTGTGAATTGGAACGGTCTCAATGGTAACTAGTTTATAGAGTTGCTGTGGTCAGAATAAAATTGATGGCTTACAACACCCTTTGTTTCTAAAGACTCTCTGAATGACTGAATTCCTAAGTTGCTGAGCCAAAGCTTGGAGGTTCAAATCCATATAAGGACACATTGGAAGAAAAGTTCTGGAGAGCTACTTCTGACAAATTAGCTATTGAAAAAATTCGGTGGAGTACAGGTCTACTGTGACACCTACCGATCACCACGCATCTGAATTCAGTCAAAGGCTGGTTGGTTTGTTATTTGTCCCTGGCATCAGATAGTTGAGTGATTGATGGATACTGACTGGGTTCTGGACAGCTTAGTGAAGAGAGCTCTGGAAGCAAGAGACAAAGTTCAATACCTTCATTTTGTCAACTATAAAATTAAAAGTTACCTCATTATGGTGCAAACAACATGAGATCAGGCATGTAAGACGTGCCCCACAAAGTCTGATGACTACTCCTCTCCTCCTTTTTCTACAATGAAATCCTCAGGCCTTGAAATCCTCAGAGTTGCAGGGAGAGTATTGACTCTAGCTCCAGATGCTCTGCTCTAAATCCTCTGCCACGTTTGCACCATGCTCACTCTGAGGTCATGCTTTTCACGGGCTTCTTTGAGCCATTGATAAATTTGTGACGTTGTTGTTGATTGCCGACTTGACTCTTAGCGACCCTATGAAGCCTTCTTATAACTATCGTCATTTATCAAAGTTCGTGGAGTTTCCAGAGACATGTTCTCGAGGCAGTGAATGCCACTCCTGCTTCCAAACTTTTCTTAATCTGGGAGTTCCACCAAACACTGTTCGCTATAGGTAACTGTTACGGCATTTGACACCCCAGTGGCACAAGGTTCAGCATCGCAGCAACCCCAGGTTACCTCAGTATAGCATACTGACAGAAGAGTTTTGTACCACTTAGAAGATTGTTCCTCCAGAATATAATAACAACTGACTTTTAAGTACAAAAGCTCCCCCCTCCCCCCTAGGTCTTGTTGACTCTAAACATGAGGCTTACATAAAAAAACAGTATGTTTTTGTTGTTATGTGCTGTTGAGTTGCCTGTGACATATAGCGACTCTGTGTCTGAACCCTTCCCTGTTCTGAGTCAGTCTCACTAATTCCGACACACCAATCCCCATTGCCCCAGTTACTGTATCAATTCATCTCATCTGGGGTCTCCCTCTCCTGCGCTCTTCCTCCACCTTTCCGAGCATGACGTCCTTCTCCAAGGTCCAATCTCTCCTGGCCTTGTGCCCAAAGTATGTGAGAGGGAGCCTCAAAATTCTAGGCTCCAAGGAGAGATTTGGTTTCACCGTCTCTAATACAGACCTATTTGTTTTCTTGGTAGTCCATGATATGTTCAAGACTCTTCTCCATCACCACAACTTGAAGGCACCTATTCTTCTTCTGTCATTCTTAGTCATTGTCCAGCTCTCTGAAACATAACAAGTAATTGAGAAGACCATGGCCTGGGTTAGATGCACCTTTGTCTCTAGACTGACATCGTTACTTTTCAGCACTCTGTTGAGGTCCCTGACAGCAGATTTTCCCAGTGCCATTGTCTTTTGATTTCCTGACTGCTGGTGATAAGAGTGTTATTGTGGAGCTGAGCAAGCTATAATTGTTAACAACCTCAATCTCTTCTTGGTCTATCATTGTGCTGCCAATTGGCCCTGTGGTGAAAATCTTTGTCTTCTTAATGTTGAGCTTCAAACAGGCCCATTCTTACTAAAGGACTCCTTTGACAACCGTACTTTGACTGAGATCAGCTTAACTGGATCTTACTTGGAACTGTGCTGCTTCTGAAAGTATGTTGTTGTTGTTAGGTGCTGTTAAGTCAAGTACAACTCATAACGACCTTGTGGACAAAAGATCTGGAGATTATGAGGTCCCTCTTTTTGCCTCCATTTTCACACAGGGCTCAGACCTGGTATCTTTTCTGCCCAGTCCTGTCATTTATCTATTACAGATGTTTCCCCTCAATACAAATTTCTTGTGCATCTTAATCTTTCTGTAGGTGTTTACTTCTCAGAGGGTAAACATTAGCCTCTCTACTAACATGGCTTTCTCTCATTCCTGTACAAATACTAATAACTTATTTAGGTAGCTTTCACAATACATGGATACTTGTACTTATTTGATAAGGAATTCAACTGAATTAATACATGCATGGGTGCATGCTGCTGGGAACACAGAGATGCTTCCTCCCATTGAAGAACAGATAGACGTGTATACAATGTTCAGATAAAGTCATGTTTAGTAAGAAAGCACAATAGAAGATTCCAGAGGAGGAAATGCTTTATTGGGCTGTTGTGTTTAAGGTTGTATGTCTACCTACCTGCCTAAGAGCCTCTGTGTTAGCAGTTATGATGTAATCATTCCCTTGATAATATACAATATTATAGAATAATTTCTTTGGTGAAACCTTATATAATGTTACCACCTGCAAGACAAGATCTGTTACAAGTAGCCAATGAAAGGAAGCTTTATCAGGGTGTGGCTTATATAAAATACAAATATAAATGTTTGACAAAGCTTGCTAGTTTTTCACTTGACCAGGATCCTGCATCTGGCTCATGATCTCTAATGCTTTAGATCAAACCTGCTGATATTGGATTTGTCAGCCTTTGAAGGCACAGATCCACTGTATTCCAGCGTATTTCTCATCATCTACAGCTATGTGAGTTGGGAGAAGCCTTTCTTCTCAGTCTCTCACTAACTTGAAACTTGCCCTCCTTTACAAGTATGAGCCTATTTCTTGGAAATAAATTTCTCTTCATATTTCTATGAGTTTCATTTGTTTTGCTTCTCTAGAGAACCGAGCCCAAGACACCCGGGACGGGGATAGTTGATGGATGAGGAGGTGTCACTAAAGAATGATATTTGAACTCAGGAAAAAGAGACACTCCCTCCACGTACACCCCCTATCCTCAGTGTGGCCCAAAGAAAAAACAAGAAGAAAACAAAGATGTCCATAAGGGACATAACTTTACATCCTGGGTGTGTGTCTCCCTCTTCTTTTATCTCCTGCAATGGTTATAAAGTAGAATTACTGCCTCAAAAAACCAAACCCAAACCATTACCATCCGTCAATTTCATCTCAAGGAGACCCCAAGAGTTATAGAGTAGAACGATCCCTAGGGTTTTCTGGGTTGAAACCTTTACAGGATAGATTGCTAGGCCTCGATGGTATGGTAGGTTAATTGCTGGACTGCTAATCAAAAGGCCAGCAGTTCAATGGACAACCCAGATGTCCAACCACAAACAAATGGATTGAGGAATTATGGTACATTCACACTATGAAACACACAGGAGCAATGATTTTTTTAAATTATTACCTAACTTGGGAGGGACTGGAGAGCATTATGCTGAGTGAACTAACTAAGTCCCACAAGGATAAATACTGTATAAAACCATTATTGTAGAATGAGTATAAGTAGCCAGGAGGGGTGGGAGAGGCTGGAAGCAGAGGGTTGAGGATGTGCAAGGGGAGGGGGAGATGAATCATGGGGTTGTGCAATTTGATGACAGGGTGAGAGAAATTGAAATAATTTGTTCTTGAAAACAATGTATTCAAGTTTTGTAAATAAACTAGTAGAATTCTTTTTTTTAATTTAATAAAGGCCAGCAGCTCAAACTTGCCTGCTGTTCCATAGGACCTGTTCTGTTCTGACATTTCTGTCTCCTCTCACCAAGATCTAAAGCCTCAGAGACCCAAAGGTTGGTTGTCATCAACTGGAATTGCCTCAGCAGCTGTAGACTTTTTGGTTGGTTCTTCCTTAGTACCATTGGGTTGGATAGGTTTGAACCACCAACCTTTAGGTTAGTAGTTGCGTAAAAACAATTTGTGCCACGCAAACTCTTAAGACATAATCCTTTTGTAAGTTGTAAGAAGTTCAAATGTCAGGAACTTTCCCTTGGTTGGAAAGTTGCTGTCTGCCTTGTTTATTTGAACCTTAGCCTCCAAATATAATGGGGATCCCTCCTTCTCTGCTGCTGTGATCTGCCCCATTCTGCTCCCAAACTTGACATAGAATGGTGAACAGAGCGAGCAACTTTGAATCACTGGTAAAGGGTCAGGGGAAGTGAGATCTGAGGAAAAGTTGATAGCCAAAAGCTGGGTTTACAATTTAAAAACGCTGGGTCATGTGGGATAAGGGAGATTTGGCAAACAACACTGGTCCTTGGAGCCTCCATGGCAAAAATGAGAAAGATACACTTTCCCCCCTTTGATTTAATGCACAGATGCTACCAGGGAGCAAGGCAAGTTATTTTGCAGGACTGAAAAAAAGGCAAAAGGCCATCTGATAAGGTTTCGGGTAGGTCTGTGTCCCTATAGTCCGAAGGGAAGAAAAATGAGGCGACAAGAGGGACGTGCTTTGAGACTAGAACCTAAAGAGTGACTGAAATGAAGGCTTCGTTTGCCCCCTGACAAGCCCAGAGTGGGGATTCATGAGAAAGGGCT